TCAAGAATCCCCCATCCTCTAGCGTCCACCATGTAAAAAGGGGGAACCATAATCGATTTGTAGCCTACAAATTTTGTGGTGGGGTTAAATTTCCTTGAGGAACTAAAAAGCTGTTTGCCGCCTAAAAAAACTATCCGAACTAGATCTTGGTGATAAAAAAGCCCTAGTCAATTGCTACGTGAGATGCGTAATTTGGCAATGGGTAATGTTTTAAAACCACTTTGGTTGCAACAATTGCCGCAGCAAGTTTATTGCAACAATTGCCGCAGCTATTTTAGATGTTAGTACAGAAGCACTCGATAAATTGGCTGAAATGGGAGATAAAATTTTAGAAACTTGCGGCAGGCACCAGTGTGTTGGCGAAATCTCTGCCAATAACAACCCAGAAGCGGTTACATCAGAAAATCTGAACTAATCAACAATATTTTACAAAATTAATGAACTTTCTAAAGAAGTTAGAGAGCTGTGAAGATCACGCAGTAGTTCTAGAAATCAGAATCATTTTAATCACCAAAACACCTATTATAGGAACCGATCAGAATCTAGGGAAGGTACTTGTAAGTACCATTGTCGTTTTGGTAAAAGGTCTACCGGATGCACTCAGTTCATTTGTAGCTGATTTTAGAAATCGGAAAACTATTTAGGCCATATTGTTGGCGACGCACGACAATGCTAGCCAGAATTCAAGTCGCCTTTTTGTTTATGATCACTCTAGTAAACGAAATTTTCTTATCGGTACTGGAGCTGATGTCTCGGTTTTACCCGTTTTTTCAAAGCAGAAAAAATTCCAGATCCAAAATTTTACGTGTATACTGCTAACGCTGGGATACAGCGACTTTTTCTTGATTTAGGCATACAAAGAAAATTTTGTTTGATCTTTATTGCTGCCGATGTTTCTAAGGAAACTATAGGTGCTAATTTTCTGAAAAATTAAGGACTTTTATTTGATATTAAAGAATAGAAAATAAATATATCCTACTACATCTTTAAAATCCTTTCCTTTAATCGACTAGTCAATGTTCCATCAACTAATTTGACTACTGTGCCTTTTAAAACTACAAATAGAATTTTGAACTGCAAGGCATGTAGTTTTTGTACATCATTTTAAATAATGTAATTTTACATAGCAAAATACAAATTTGAGTGAAATCAGTCGAATAGTTCCTGAGAAATCAAATTTAATTGAAGCCGTATTTTTAATATTTGATTTCTCGGGAGCAATTCGACTGATTTCGCTAAAATTTTATATTTTTCCATTTAAAATTACATTTCTTAAAATAATGTAAAAAAATTACATACTTAAAATTACAAAATTACATAATTTAAAATTGTTTCAACTATTAATAAAAATTAATATTTACTAAAAGTTAAATTTTAAATAAAATTAATCTTGTGATTTTATAATTGTATGAAATTTTTTTTCAACTCACTCTAAAAGTTTGCGAGACGTTGTGAAATACCCAAAAATAAAATTAACAATAAGGGGTCCAAACTTTGGTCCGCTCTCCTGATCTAACTAGGAGGACCATATTTCCCAGATTAGGGCTACATCCTATATTTGAGGGCCAGAAATCCAAATCTGTTGAAAAAATGATTCATTCAGAGAAAGTGCTTTTTTATGTCCGATTTCGTAACTTAAAATACTGTCAGCACTAAATAATGAGCATTTTAAAGCTCACCCCTTCAAACCATTAAGATTGAGTCTTAGAAATTTGAAGATCCGATCATTAGATCAAAAGTTTATTTTGGGCACTGTGAATTTAGAAAAAGTACGTTTTTGTACTTTCGATTGATTGATTTCGTAACTTAAAATATCGTCTGAATTAATTAAAAAGAATATTTGAAGTTATTCCCTCAAAGCCCTAGAATGTGAAGATCTGATCATTAGATCTAAAATTGTTCAGGTTGGTCTGATTTTTATTTTGCGCACTGAATATACAATTTTTAATCACCTGAATTTTAAAAATATCCATTAAAAATGGTAACACACTGTGAAAAAAATACACAAATTTTAAAGTATCATTTTGAAAGTGCCAAATACCTTTTTTTCCAAGGAAGGAAACAGAAAACTGAACTACAACAAAACGAAACGCATTCCAAAGTCTGAAACAAATTTTATTTACTGTCACAAAAGCTATTCAAGCATTCATTTAACATATGATTTTATACGGCATAGCTTTTTCAGTTTGAAATTATTTATACAAAGAAAATTTAGCGTTTGGAAATTCGTGTTACATATGTTTTAGCTCTNATATATTATTTTTATTGTTTAAAAAATATGTTTATTTTTGAAATTTGAAAATTTAGTCAGGAGAAATTTTTCTTTCCGTAAATTGATAATTTTGATTAGCATAAAAATTTGTAGGATAATTATTATATTTTTAATTAATTTATGTGTTAGAGTATATATAATTTATTGATTGCATAATTATTCAAATTAAAGCAATTAAAATCTTAAATTTTTTTTTCTTCTAAATGTAATATTTATTCTTGAAATTAGTTCTTAAAATTTGAATGCCTCTTACGGTTTGGCAAATACTGTAACTTAAATATGTTAAACAAAAATAGTGTAAATAATTTTGAAAATGAATTAAATACTAGTTTTCAAAATTTGAATTTCGATGTAGATAAACTCGAAGAAAATTTTGACATTTCCCTAAACAAAGTTCTCTTAGCTGCTGAGAATCAAATCCAGCATAAACAAGAAAATGATATTTAATAGTATCCGGATACACTCAAAATACATTCAAAATAATAATGAAGACAATTATAGTGACAAATACCCGATTGTGACGAATAAAATTATCTACTTGAAGTCGACATAAATAGTATTTAAAATATTTATCTTAACAGAAATTTAAAAAAAAATTAAATGTCCAAAAAGAAAGAAAAATAAACATTGTGATTGTACAAAAGGTAATTTGTAACTTATCCAAACTTGCACTGCAGATTAAAAAATTGGAAAAGAAAACTAGATCAGTTAAATTTTAAAAACTGATTTACCTTATACCATATTAAGTTTTTGAAAGCTTGCATTGTGATTTCATTAAGTGATTGATTGTGAAAAACAGGTTGAAAAGCAAAATTTGAGAAGACAGATCACCTTTTCTGATTATAAAAGCAGTTTGTCCTTACACATTTTTCCAGAAATCCTGGCTAATGATTGTTATAAAAATATTGGGTTATTAATCTGGTTTAAAAAAGTATATATCTCTATTACAGATCTGAAATCTAAGTAGTTTTGAAGATATGTTTTTGGGGGAAAGTAATTACAAAAATTAAGCTTCTATGAGCACTACAATTTCTTTCTAAAGCATTTTTAAAAATAGTTTTAAAGTATTTTAAAGTATATCTTGAGTCCTTAGGCCAATCATTTATTTCCAACTTTCATTACCAGAATCGTAGTTATTTGTTTAAGTCCTATTCCAATTTTTTTTCCGTATTTAATTTCTTATACTGAAAAGAAGAAATCTTTTCCATAACTTTTAATTTCTGTAGTTGTTATTGCTTACAATTTCCTAAGGCCTTTATCTTGTTTAGGATAGAGCTGGGGAACTTTTTGTATAAACAAAATTGCCAGATAATGTTAAACTGTACAGTTATACTTGCTCTATGGTAACAAACAACAAAAAAAGCTAGGTAGTTTTTAATGAAGCATGTTGGTAATAATTTCGATAAAATGACCAATAAAATATGGTTTTATTATCTGTAAAATATTTGATAAATGTGGTAAAAGTTTGTAATTTTATCATATCTTAGAGCATATTTAAACCATTTGTCCGGTTAAATTTACCCTTCAGTTCTGTATGTTCCCTTACGCGTGTAGTGATGAGAATTATAACTTTCAAAACCAGAATTTCAGGTAAACCGTTACCATATGAAAGGGAAAAATTTCAAGATGAATGGTTAAAATGCAGTATATATTGGTTTTTAATACTAGAATTATGATTTTTTTACTAGAAATGACATTACCATTCAGTTCATAATTTTACCGGAATTATTTTCTTCCTGTTTTATTTTATGGAATTATTATTGTTTTATATTCTTGTATGCTAATTGTGACATCGCGTTAAACGCTAATTTTTAAAAATCCTGGTCACGGCACCAAGTGTGCTGTTTGTTGTGTGGTATTGGAAAAAAAAAATCCCCTTTCTGGAATGTCTGTGACAACCGCGTGGATGTACCTGGTACCCCAAGCACCATATCATGCGATTGAATACTAGACTTATGATGTGATCTTGCCAAATATTCCCCATTCAAAATTTACCTCCTCTCCATGATTCCGATTGTGCCTTTTTTTTTTTGCTGCTGCCCCGACGTCAGAAAACCATCTGAATAAAAAGTGAACTTCCATTTATCTGAACTCTGGACTGTTTTATTTTGGTTTGACTCTTTTAAAAGTTGTGTCTTTTTTTTTTAGAAATCATCATCATGCCAAAAATTAAAGGTATGTGGTAATTCTCATTCCTGTTTTTCTTTTAGATTGTAATTGGTTATTTTGTTACCAGGATTTTGGCGGAACACATTCGCCATGTTGCAAACTACTGTACGTTTTTGATTAATTCGACCATATTTCTTCTAAAATTCAGTTATTTTTATCTCTCTAATATAATTTTTTTTCCAATACCACACAACAAACAGCTCACCAGTATATCTCTCAAAGTGAAATTCCTTTTTCTCGTGAGCTATAAATCAGTCCTCTCGCTAGACTAAGAAAAGAATATATATATATATATATACACTATTTGGAAGAAAGTGACGGGACACGACACTATAACGACATAAACCCATATTTATTAAAATTAATAGGAGGTAGGGCCTCCTTTGGCTGCGATCACAGCTGCAACCCTTCTGGGCATGCTTTCCACTAAATTAGCCACAGTGGCAAGAGGAATTTCCTTCCAAATGTT